GCATGGGAAAGATGCTTTTACTCAACATTTACCAGCACCGTGCCGGTTTCGCCAGAGCTGGCCCTCCTCCATAACTGAGATCATCAATTGCCAGTCAGCATTTCCTCATAGAGATGCATTAATTCAATTAAAAGCATCTCTATGAGGAATGTGCATCACCTCAATGCAGAGAGAATATAGGTGCTGCACATAGTGCAGCACTGAGATAGGCGACTGTAACAGATCCATTTGTACAGACTGAGATTGCTGGTTCGTCTGTTTGCCCCTGTTCGTGGAATTACCTGTTCATATAACCCTCTTCCTTTATTTTGACTTTTCTGCTGAACTAAACTACCGAACGGACGGCCACCCAGAAGAGAAGTGTGCTGCTGGTTAACCTCTTGATCCCAATTAGAACGTTGTGGTTAAATGCAGACACTTCTCAATTAGAACCAAATACAGGGTGGTCGTCATTCGTATGTCGACCACGAGGCGGCGGCCATTTTAAACAAGCGAAAGACCAGCTGTGTTCGGCCCAGATTCTATGGAACTAAAAACGGACACTTTTTCCGCCGAACACCGCTGAAGCCACCGACCTCCCTTCTCAGTCGACGGAGACACACGAACATCGGCCGTTCGGGAGTTTAAAGCACACAAATGGACTTAACTCAGATAGCCTTCCCATGGAGTCAATTGCATACCGAAAGACTGTAAGAAACTTTGACTCCATGGCGATTGAACTATGCGTACTGGATCTGAGCGCTATTCGCCAATGCACTCAGATCCAGGCTATCTGGGGATGTGTTACACGAATGAGAAATGTTCGGCAGTTGTAAAGTTATATATTTTTATGTGTTTTTTGGATTGTATTTAAAATGGCGATTTGCCGAATTACTTCTCAATTATCTCGTGGGCAGAGGGGAGGAAACCATGATGCATGCTGGGAATATTATGTGACTGTATGTCCTGAAATGCCGTATATCCATCTGCTATTACAGTCTCCCATTTCGTCCCCTAGGGGAGTGTCCACCAAGTGGGAAACCTGCATAAATACGGGCGGGTAGCCCACAGTAAACCCAGTTCATGTTTTACCCTCAATGCAGAGCTTGGTCTCGTTATTGGGGGGATTTATTACCGACGACTAGAGACTGCTGGATGGGATTATTAGCCTCTTGGGAGATATATGCGTTCGGCTACTATTGGCGATTCGTGAGTTTGGAGCTCGTGAAGTGCCCGTACGGGTCCCGTTCGTGAGATTACAGCGTTCCCCTGCTTGCGGTTTCATATGATTGTACTTGATACGCATGGAGCCTGTGTTATTGCGAGAGGGGAGGATTCACTAAACGGCAGTTTGTGCATGTGATGGTGAGGGTACCTTAACAGCGACACTTTAGTGGCCATCTGAGTGACTGCCTCTAGAGGTGTTACTAGGCAGCAGAAAAGGCGTTTTTTACATTAAAAAGTCTGCAGGGACAGGCTATAGACACCAGAACCACGGCATTAAGCTGTTGTGGTTCTGGTGACTATAGTGTTCCTTTAAGAATTATATTTTTGTCGTTAGTGGTGGAAAAAAAATGGCTCCTAAATTGAAAGCAAATTTGTCAAGCGCTGGTATAGTGAATGCAGTGTTTGTGTAGTGTGTGGGTATATAATGAATGGAGTGTGTGTGTGTGTTTGTGTATATAATGCAGAATGCAGTGTGTGTGTATATAATGCAGAATTCGTGTGTGTTTATGAAGGGATGTAATTTGTGTAAAATGAGGAAGGGAGAAAGGCATTATTTATCTTTTATTTTTAATATTTGTTTTCTTTTTTTATCCCCCCTCCCTGCTTGTTACCTGGCCAGGGAGGGGGGTTATGGCATTCCCTGGTGGTTCGGTGTCATGGACTGTGCAGTGGGGGCCTGCAGCAAACTCTTACTTACCTTCCCAGCAGCTCCCTTCAGCTCCCCTGTGTAAATCTTAAGGTAAATGCACAAAATATACATGCCACATATAGTGGATGCCCATGTATTTAGTCAGGGGAGCTGTGTGTTTGTGTAGTGCATGCAGTGTGTATATAATGAATGCAGAGTGTGTTTGTGTATTGTGTATAGTGCATGCAGTGATTGTAGCGGTTACCCCGTTTAGCAGAAGGGTTTCCACCGCTGGAGGTGCCCTTTTCCCGGTCAATGAGGAGTATTCTCAGCATCCAGTAGTAATCCAGGTGAAGAAGCTCTTACAAGAGATAGTGTGATAGCTATATAGCTGTTACCCCCAATAAGAGAAAAGACTCTAGATTGAGAGTGAAGAAGAACTGACTGTTTAATGGCAGATACTCTCCTTTTATGCAGTCTTCCCATGCAAGGGAGACACCCACAGACAATTATGCATTAGCCAATCAAACGATGGTTACAACCCACATATTCCCTCCCCTCTGCATGGGAGATAATTGTTACTTACTGTATCTACTCAATTATCTCCAAGCTGCAAAATCATACTTTTCAGACATTATTATAACTCCATGATTTTACATATAATATGAATAAAACTGCCATTTTTATCAACAGCAGAACTTGGGGACAAACATATCCAAAATTCTCATAAATCCGCCCATGGGTTCAGGAGATAGTCAAAAGACTCTTTGGACCGACCACACGCCTGTTTACATGCCCAAAACAGTTCCACAGATTCAGGCTGTGTGGTCAGTCTATCTTTCCATTCGAATAAAGTTCAAATAGCACGAATGGATTGGTTCGTGCTTACCCTCTTTAGATGCTGCTTGTAGAGTAGCTGAAAATGGTTCGACGACAGAAAACCGCTGAGTGCGTTCGACTAAACAAAATGGCAGCCGCCACGTGTTCATGCAAGCGAACGTCGACCACCCTGTATAGCGATTAAAATGAGGAAGTGTTCGCAGAATCACAGATTCAACAAAAAACAGATGGCTCTGTTACAGTGAGTGTTTTAGTGTGTGTGTATAATGAATGCAGAGTGTGTGTTTTTATAGTGAATGCAGTGTGTTTATGTAGTGTGTACAGTGATTGCAGTGTGTTTGTGTAGTGTGAGCACAGAATGTGTGTTTGTGTTGTGAATGCAGAGTGTGTGTATAGTGATTGCAGTGTGTTTGTGTAGTGTGTGTGTATATAATGAATGCAGAGTGTGTGTAAAGTAAATGCAGTGTGTTTGTGTAGTGTGTATATAATGAATGCAGGGTTTGTGTAGTGTATATAGTGATTGCAGTGTGTTTGTGTAGTGTGTGTATATGATGAATGCAGTTTGTGTAGTGTGTATATGATGAATGCAGTGTGTGTTTGTGTAGTGTGTGTGTATATGATGAATGCAGTGTGTTTGTGTAGTGTGTGTATATGATGAATGCAGTGTGTTTGTGTAGTGTGTATAATGAATGCAGTGTGTATAAATAATGAATGAGGTGTATTTGTGTAGTGTGTGTGTGTATATAGTGATTGTAGTGTGTTTGTGTAGTGTGTATATGATGAATGCAGTGTGTGTTTGTGTAGTGTGTGTATATGATGAATGCAGTGTGTGTTTGTGTAGTGTGTGTGTACTGAATGCAGTGTTTGTGTAGTGTGTATATAATGAATGCAGTGTGTGTATAGTGATTGCAGTGTGTTTTGTATGCTCCCTGGTGTATTCATTGGCTGGTTTGGTGAATTAAGACTCCATTACAAACAGGATAATGCTATTCAAGTAGCCGAACATCCTTGCATGTGGAGTGTGCTGCTTTTTAACCTTTCAGAAGCTGTGGTTAACCGCAGCTTAATTGACGAACGGCTGGGTGGTCTGTGTTCATATACACAAACACGTGGCGGCGCCCATTTTGTTTAGTCGAACACAGCCAGCGGGGTTTTGCCATTGATTGCCTGGAACCAAAATCTGGCACTCAAAGGCACGAACACCGCTGAGACTTCCACCTTCCACTGCGGTCGGCTAAATTTTCACGAACAGAGCGCTGTTCGGTAGAAGTAATCTACCAAAAGCCCTTCACTGCTACCTTGGTGCACAAACGATTCTGTTTGTCTATTCAGCGTCTACTTTAATTGTGGAAATAGAGAGCCCAACTCTCTGAAACTATTTTGGGCAGGAAATCATGTGTGCGGTCGGTCAAAAGAGACCTCCAACTAACCTTAAAACCCCTGCTCTGGGTGAGTTTTGGATATGTTGTTCACCCAGATCAGGACTATCCAGGGATGTATGATTTATGGGGATATGTTGGAGTTTTGGGGTGTTCCTGCACTTTGGGTAAAAATGGGCACTTTCTGCCTGTGGATAATTAAGTTATTCCATTATATCACAGGTAGAGGGGAGGGATTGCTGACTGTATGTGGGAGTGTTACAGTGCTAATTATTGTTCCCATTGGTCTATGTTCTTTGTGTCCCTGTTTT